TGCTCCATCTCGCTCACCTTAAGTACACCAGGAACATTTTGATGAACAAACAATAACCGAGCAATTTTTTGTGTCGCTTCGATAGCACGGAGATCAACTTCTGGGAAGTTCACTGCACCAATAGACGTGCCATAGTTTATATATCGAACAATTGCGCTGCCTACTTCTACGCCAATCATTTTCTGCGCTTCTTCCGTTGAACCACCTAAAAGAGACAGATTGTTAATATTATAGCGTACGGTAACCGAATTGTCGCAATTTCACACACGCACCAATATGCGGAGTCATCAAAACGTTCTCGCATTCGCGTAATTCGTCAACCCAATCTCCCAGCTCACTAGTAAACGTCTCCCCATTTTTTGCCGGTTCCTTCGGATACACGTCCAAAGCTGCTCCTGCCAACCGTCCCTGTTTCAATGCTTTAACCAGTGCTGGTATTTGCACAACGCTTCCCCGAGAGGCGTTAATGAAATAACTCCCTTTTTGCATGCACTCAAACTCTTTATTACCCATCATGTTCTTTGTTTCTGGTGTTTCGGGAACATGGATGGTGACAAAGTCGGCCGAAGCGAGAAGTTCGTGAAGGGAGCCAACTTGTTGGGCTGTCCCAAGGGGCATAAGTGAAAGTACATCATGGAAGCAAACTTTCATTCCCATTGCTTCGGCTAGAACGGATAACTGACTTCCGATATGACCATAACCGATAATACCTAAAAGAAAGAGGTGAGTCTGTTGATTTTCCAAAAAGGTTTGTGTAAACAGGTTCATCAATCGTAAAACTCTTGACAAAATACAAACCCAAAGTCTTGCCTCTAATTTCGCGGCAATTACTAGACACCTTGTTCCAAATTCCTTTATGCATTTCCATGTTTCTGTCACCCAACTTCCTGCTTAGCGTCACAATTTCCGCAATAATCAATTCTGCCACGCTTCTACTATTGCTGAATGGTGAATTAAAGACGACAATCCCGCGATGTGCCGCTGTCTCGAGATCCACCTGGTTGGTTCCTATACAGAAGCATCCGATCGCAAGAAGTTTTTTGGCTTCGGAGAGAACGCGCGATGTCAGTTTGGTTTTCGAACGAATTCCTATGGCTTGGACATCTCTGATCTTTTCAATTAAGACTGACTCGGGAAGAGCTTCTTTGTAATGTTCGACCTAGAAGAATCGTTAGATCGTTGAAAGATCAGGGTCAGATTGATTAGTACGTGTCGTCGCAGTATCTAACATGTGCACACATTTCTTATGCCTTGGATTATTATTCTCCTTTAGAATTAATCATGAACAAGCAGTGCTCGAAGCAAACCAATATAATGTTATTTCTTTTTTCTACCCGTTTTTTTTCGTACCTGATAGCCTTGCTTAGTGAGAATGTCAATTGCACTCTGGTTAATATTTTCCAGTAACAACACTTTTATCTCTTCCGCATTAAAAGGTTTGAGTGCTTTCTGATGCGGGTGGTTAGAGTATGACGTTCTGCGCGCTTCTGTCATTTTGATAAAATGTGTATTTCGTGGTCAAAGTTTTTTTTTTTTTAAACTTTTTGTGGAGATCAACCTAATTAGGGGCGGTTTATATTGATCAGAGATAATCTTATCAACACCATCGCTGCGTTATACATTCTGGGACATACCGGTAATTAAAGAATTAGTAATACAGAATTCCCATCTTTACTACACCATAACAGTCTGAAGTATCGAAATTGTACCATTTTTCATTTCCCAATACACGACTCTTTTGGGAAACGACAATCAGAATCAATTCTATATTAAGGAACTGATTCGGTCTAACCAAGTCGAACTATTCGTCGATATATCAGATTAGTCATCAGGCTAGTATTAGCATAAGACTACCATATGATTAAGCCTTTGCCAAAGTAATGCAGAAATGACTTTGCTCAAACGTTTTTACAGTGACATTATCTAAGCTGTCTTGTGCATAGTCATGTGACAAATTTATGAAGCTCTGTCGGAAAGATGCAAGTCTAGTTATAGCTCTTCGATCTCTTCGTGTCCTTGTGGACAAGAGATAGTTCCCAGCCTGTCTTTGTACTTTTTTACAATATGGTTCTGCAAAGATGTTGTTCAGTGTGCAATAAATTCAACTGTTTCTGTTTGTATTTTTTATTTCTATCTGGCAACGATCTCTTATCTTTTGAATTACGTGTGACAATCAAAAACACGCTTTAAAATTGATATGAGGATCGTGCCTTACTATGTCACGCTGGCTTACGTAATCTGGAAAAGAACATCTCGCATTTTGTCAATAAACCTATTTTTTCCGATCATTGTCCACAAGAGTAATCGCCTATCTGGTTTGAGATTGCGAGTGAAATTTTTTGTTACTCGAATGCTCAACCGTAACATTGCAATCATAAAGAATGGCAATGTAAACCATGAACGAAACCGAAAATTATGATTTAAGCC